GGGGGGGGGGGAGGGGGCGCTTCGTCTTGTAACGGTCAGAAAGCGCGAGTGGGCCGCTGGCCCCTTCAGGCCTGTCTACACTAACCCCTCCCCCCCCATTCGAACTAGCAGCGCCGGGAGTAACGACTTCAACTGCGGCTGAGAGCCCACAGGACGCGTCTTCTCAGAGCGCTTCTTTCGAAAGAGCGCGCCCAGCCAGGCAAGAGCCGCTCTCGCGGGAGCGCGCCTGGGCCAGCTGGATGCTCGTTCCAAAAAGCCCTGCTTGCATGGCCTGTCTACACTAACCCCTCCCCCCCCATTCGAACTAGCAGCGCCGGGAGTAACGACTTCAACTGCGGCTGAGAGCCCACAGGACGCGTCTTCTCAGAGCGCTTCTTTCGAAAGAGCGCGCCCAGCCAGGCAAGAGCCGCTCTCGCGGGAGCGCGCCTGGGCCAGCTGGATGCTCGTTCCAAAAAGCCCTGCTTGCATTCAAGGCCTTTTCAACACCAAAAAAAAAAAAAAGGCTTCGTTCTTCATAAAATGAGGTTTGCTGCTGCCGAAAAACAATCCCACTGCATCTGTTATTTAATGTCGGAAGAAGGCCACGGCAGGCTAAACAACAGCGACTTTTTTTTTTTTAAATAGCCTTAAAGTCGGTCCGGTTACAGCCAAAAGCAGCAGGAGTAGAGATTGAGAGAATAGGGTTGGTAAGACGGAGACACCGCGTATTTCAAAATAACTCCCTCATGGAGCCAGGGACTTGGAAACTAACCAAAATACATGTCGAGAGAAGCATGAGCTTTCATTTATATATGTGTATACACACAGTATCGATACAGTTTTGGTCGTAAGGTAGCACAGGACTACTCGTTTAAAAAAAAATACAGACTAACATGCAAATCCCTGAGACTTTATAACTTTTTTTTTTTTTTTTTAAATATAGAGAGAGAAGCATGGATAAAATCCAGCTAGTAACTAAGATGTAACAGAAAAAAACACCACCTGTAAATTGTAGGACTGGTGCTAATTAGGCTAATCAAGTGGGTTGGAAGTGTCCAATTCTAAGCTTATGATGTAAAAACCCAGTCGTTAAAAGCTTTGGGAGACTAGTGTTAGAAGTGCACAATGACAGCTCAGGTACGGGTGCAGGGAGGTTATAAGTATCCTAAAAGCTTACCATAGATCATTCACTTTATACAGCTTGGCTATGTCTAGACTGGAATGATTTTCCACAAATGCTTTTAACTGAAAAGTTTTCCATTAAAAGCATTTGCAGAAAAGAGTGTCTAGACTGGCATGGACGCTTTTCCGCAAAAGCATTTTTTGCGGAAAAGTGTCCATGCCAATCTAGACGCGGTTTTGCACAAGAAAGCCCCGATCACCATTTTCATCATCGGGGCTTTTTTGCACAAAACAGTTTTTAGCTGTCTACACTGGCCCTCTTGTGCAAAAACATTTCCGGAAAAGGGTTTTTGCCCGAATGGGAACGTTGAAGCATTTGCGGAAGCAGCACTGATTTCGGACAGTAGAACATCAGTGCTTTTGCGCAAAATCAAGCGGCCAGTGTAGACAGTTTAGACGCAGCCCTTTAGAGGGGTAGCCCTCTTAATCTGCATCCACAAACACAACAAGGAAGCCTGTGAAGACCAATATTTCTTTAGGCATAAAGATGGGTCTTTGCCCAAGAAAGCTTGTTGGAGTGCAGCTAATGAAATGGGGTTTTGCCCACAAAAGCTTGTGCCCAAAGAAATCTGTTAATCTTTGGATATCACAGCATTCCTTGGTTTTGTTAATACAGTTTTCAATCTTTACTATGCAAAAAAGCTACATTTTTCTAACTTTTACTTTAAACGAAAAGCATAGAAACAGCTTCCTTATCAAGTTTTAAAAAATTATTTCCCAGTATTTTTCTTGTAATTTATATT